AAGGTATTTTCAACTGCAAATGATTTAATGATTCTGCACTAAGGTGAAGTGCAATTCTTTCATAGCCTGGTAAATGTCTGAGGCTATTGTCTGATTTCGTTTGTGGTAACTTAATTAATTTCTAATAAATAAACATCGTTGTAACATAATGTTTTTTTGTGTAGCTCTTTGATTAGTGGTACTTTCACACTGGATGAGGCGCCAGTTTCCAGCTGCACAGGTTTCATATTGTTATAGTCTTAGCAATTGAATACATAGTAAGAAAGAATATTGTGAGATTCCATGGTTTTTATTATTGTATTATAGATCATGATCCAAAGCTATAATTCTTTTTGATGATTAATATTGATTATCGGATTATCTATTGCCACGGTGTGTATTTTCTTTAATTTTCTTCATTTACTTTAATATCCTTGGATTTATAGTTAGTATTAAAAATTTAATGTTGGACTTCTAAATTTCATATTTACTTTTATAGATAATGAATGACGACGGCACTGTGCATGTTTGTGTATGTATTCAGTATGTCCATTATAATGACTATTCGGTAAGATTTAATTTTTTTAAATCATGCATTATGTAATGTGAATTTTTCATCGAGAAATATTGAAAAAAACTAAAGGGAATAAGTATTTGTCTTGTCAAATACTTGATATTGCTAATGTATTTTCATCTTGGCTTTGCGCTGATGTATTTTTAATTGACAGTTTCATTTTTTTAATAACATTTATTATTATAATGACAAGTTTTTTAAGTACATGTTGTTAATAAAAGTTATAGTTCTTGACTGAGGCCCCTCGGGACCTTGGCCTACGGCCTCTATCTTCACCCCTGCCAGCTCTCCTTGGTAAATTGGCATACTATTACAGAATATAAATACTAGACGAATGTAAAACATTAAAGGGGCGAGCCTAAGCATGCTATAGATTATGTGCTGTATGATATACATGTCTGAGCTAGCAAAGCAATTGCATGCACATGTCTAAATTCAGTATCTTGTAGTCATCTTGCTTAAGTTAAAGTTATCTTGCTTATAGTTAGAAGCAGTCACTGAAAAAAATTATGTTTGAAGATTGCATATCTGCTTTGTTAACCTAGGCTTGCTCCTAGAGAACAAACATCACCTAGAATAGATCTCATGATGCATGCAGCTAGCAGTATAGTACATGCAGCTTTTTCATTTGCATTCACCTTAGCAGAATCCTTTATACCAGCAGACTGTATATCTGCTCTCCCAACTTTTATTCTTGCTAGAGAAGTTTCACACAGCAGTTTAGCCTTATCTAGCTGACCGTTTCCAGCAAATAAAGCTCAGACTTGCTTATAGCCGCCATTTTATCATTGTGACCACACCTGCTTTTAATGAAGATTATTTAACTTTAATAATAGTTAGATGGTCTGCCCGTATAAACAAACAAACGTTTTGTCGCCTTAGTAGGGCAAGCTCAGGCTCGCCCCAATAATATTTAGTACATCATAGTTAAAGACACTATTTGTCTGTTCAAAGCCCTCAGCTGGGCAATTATGTGCTGCCTTTGTTGTTGCAGCAAAGGCAGTCCTGGAGCGGGAGGGGCTCCTCCAGGAGGAAGCACGGGTGCCACTTTAGGAGGGAGCACCGGTGGGCCTCCGTCTACTGGAGGTGGCGGGCGTCCAGCTCTTGGGAGTGCTGGAGGTGGTGGTGGAGGCCCTCCATCTCCAGCCACTGGAGGTGGCGGACCTCCAGCTGCTGGTAGAGCTGGTGGTGGTAGCAGGCCTCCAGGAAATGGTGGTGAAGGCCCTCCATCTCCATCTACTGGAGGTTGCGGACCTCCATCTACTAGTGGTAAAGTTGGCCTCCTGGAGGTGGTGGTGGTGGAGGCCCTCCAGCTAATGATTGTCCGCCATGATACTCATCATAATTCATATACTACCAAACAATATGAAAATATAATGATAGGTTTTGTAATTTTGTAAATGAACTGACTTGCTGCTTTTTGAGAACAAGGATTGCAAAACTGCAGGAAAAGTTAAGCGGCAACTGTGAGTGTGAGTGGAGAAATGGCAAGTTGGTAAAAGAAGCTGAATGTAAACTTAAATAGTTTTAGAACAGGAAATAGATCTTAGTAATGTTATTAATAATAATGAGCTATTATAGGCTATGAATATAATCAATGATTCAAAAATTAAATTAATTGTGTGACGACAGATTTTATAATGTGGTAGGTCTTGTTATAGTTCTTATTTCAAAATTTTTTTCTTCCAGCAATGAACTGATAGCTAAGGCAAAAATTATAATTATTAATAAAAAGGATTATTAATTAATAATGATGAATAATTATAAGCAAGGCTATGAATATATTTAATGATTCAATAATTCAAAAAAATTAATTATGTCATAAATAATTTAAAATTTTTATCGACATTAATAACAACAATAATAAGTATTAATTATTACTAATTTTAGAAATTAATATTAATTGATAATAATTATTGAGAAAAAGGATTAATAATTAATAAAATTTAATAAAAAGTATAGAAACCAGTAAATTAAAAAAATTTCTATTAAATAAGAAAAAGTAGGGTTGTCAAAAAATAAAAGAAACAAAGAGGTTGAATTCAATCATAATAATAATAACAATAGTTCAATTAATAATAATAAACGTTAATTAATAAAAAATAATAATTCATAAAAATAGTACAAAGATTTCAAACCCTACTTTGCAGAAAATGATAATAGGCAGAAATAGAATTTGAATAATAATTATGCCTTTGTACCTATTGATTGCTCTACTACATTTCTATGATGTAAATTAATTATCTTGTTAAATATAAATTAAACTTTTCAGCTAGTATTGATTGAATAAATTAATGTCATGACAATTAAAACATCTAAAATATAGATAATTATTTGGATATTGCATTTTTTAATGTTTGTGATTCAGTACAAAATCTAAAAATTAAAGTATTAATGTATAAGAATTGTAGTTGGACTCGCCACAGTTGTGTAGGCTGGAACTAAGCAGTTTGGTTATCATTCTTTTATTAAATTTTTTCATTTTAAAGGAGAAATACTCATTCATAAAATTCTGCAAAGTAGGGTTTGAAATTTTTGTACTAATTTTATGAATTATTATTTTTTTATTAATTAACGTTTATTAGTATTAATTGAACTCTTGTTATTATGGTTGAACTCAACCCCGTTGTTTCTTTTATTTTTGACAATCCTACTTTTTCTTATTTAATAGAATTTTTTTTATTTACTTTATAAAGTAAAGACTCACTGGGTAACTGTTTCGACAGTTGGTTGTAAAGGAAATAAAGTTGATGTTTATATTAGTATGTGTCCATCATTAACACGTAAATGACAAGACCAAATTGCTGTTCTGTTACACACTAGCAACCAAGCAATTTTTTTGAGGCATACGGACAATTTCAGATGCAAGTTGGATTAGTTGATTGTGGTGTTTTTGCACTTACTTTTGCCAGTGTTTTGGCTAGTGGTGGTCATTAAAGCAGTCCCCATTTTGAACAGCAGTTAAAGAGAGGTCATCTAGAAAAGTGCATTACATCAGCTTGTTTTACACCTTTTCCTGTCAGGACGTTAGGACAAAAGAATAAGAAAGTTTGTCTGATGAAAGAAAATGTTACATATTGTGACAGTAGAATACCAGAAATTATTCAAAGGAAATGATCAATTGCACTTCCTGCCATGAATGATATCATCTGTTTACTTGTATTCCAAAGAAAGCTTTAAACATTGACAAATAAAGTCTTAATTCATGTAATTATTGCTAAACCATCATTCTCTTACTATAGACATGTGATTTTTGGTGGACTAAATTTTGCATGCTAATTTTTGTCCTGGACCAAAATATTCTAGTAACATTTTCGTCCATGACTAATTTTTACATTCTAAATATGGCAAATATAGGTCGACCAGTTTATGTCAGCTAGGACTGCATTTGTGTTGCTGATATTGAGTCCTGGCCCAATGTTTTGTTACAAAAAAATACCCTGGATCACATCAGTCTATGCAAAATTTTGGTCCTAGGCCAAAATTTTTGGGCACAATTTTTGTCATGACAGCCTCCTGAGTGAGCCTCCTTTGCTACCTAACATCCCTTCCTCCTTATTTATTAATAATTAGCTAAACTACTTATTCATAGTGTCTATCCATAAGGATAGTTTCCAGGAATATTTATACCTGACTCCAGACAACTGTCCAGAAATAATAGGATAATCGGGTGAGTCTTCCGGTGTAATCTGACCGCACCCTATTGTAAATACAATTTACATCTCATTAACATTCCACCAGACACGTATTGTGAAAAATTCTATAACAAAAACTTTTAAAAAGTAAGACACATTCTCGGAGCAACATTTTAAATTGAGAGTAAGCGACTGAAATGTTTTTATTCTATTTTTAAGTCTCTCAGTGATCTTCACGATATCTATTATTTCTGAAAAGTTAGAACTTAATTTTGCCACTCAAGATTTCAATTCTGAAACATCGGTTTTCAGCTTTAGCAAACGAGTACGCTGTGTCCCAGTCACGTTAGTTTCACTAAATAACAGAGTTATAACACATTGCATTTAATATATAGCTTAAAATTAAAGACAACAAACTTGAACACAATGTTTAAATATATGTGACCATAATTGACAAAAGGTACATGGCGGATTTTAAAATTCATCTTTCTAATGAAAAATATCAACCTGTGAGTACTCTGTTAGTCAACAATTGTTTCTATGAGCTACATCGTAACTTTTTGCATCCTCTGGAGTAATTTTATGATAAAAGGAGCTCAGGAAGTTGGATTATTTAGGCTATAAAGACCAATTATCCTATCCGCCATAAGGTACCTTTTGTCAATTATGGTCACATATTATCATTAGACAGTCTTGTAAAATCACACATTACTTTAATTTTATTCCTTAAATTGAGACACAGTACAATTTGAAGTCAAAATTTAGAGTAATTTGTCATTTCAAGCTATGACTATTAATTACCATGGGCAGTTGCAGAAATTTGGTTTGACCAAGGCATCAATGATTAGTGGGTGTGAAGTAGGTGTGGTTCTATACAATTTTGCAAGGAAAAATGGAAAATACTGATTTAGAACTTCATTGAGATGGTTTCTTAGCATAAAACAACAAAGAAGCCTGTTGAACTGCCACAGTGTACACTGGATGCCCACACCAGAATCATGAATATAATTATTGGTCAAAAAGTCAACCTGGGCATTGCCCCCTAATTCTCAAGCCTGCAACCGCCTATGTTAAAAACTTATAATTATAATTAGCAACACTGCTAAACTGTGTACTGGTAGTTTCACATTGTTATTCTTGGATTTGTATTAGCAAGAGCAAATGATTATGTACTCTTGGTATTGCAAAGGGAAACTTCAGTAATGAGCAGTTGCATAATTACTTATGCACTTAAGATGATTTTGTACTATCAGTTTCTGGCACAAACTCATTTTGGATTCTAGTGTAGCTTAATAATTAATTTTGATGCAGTTGAAATCTCCCACACTTCTAATGCAGCTGGACTAACCTTGAAATTGTTAAAGGTACTTGAATAGTTTAAATGTCATTTGATTCCTGTTCTAAAACTTCCAAATTTCTATTTAGGTACTCAAACATGTGTAGTGACGAGGACAAGTCCGTCACATGAAAGTGGTGGACGTCACAAACTGAATTTTTGCCGAATAACACTTCAATAGTATGTCCATAATAATTCAAACCTACCAAATATAAATTTAGCAATGCAGCATCAGACCATAGTTGCTATGACATCTAGACATAGCTGCCAATAATTGGTAACATGACGCTTCCACAGAACATAAAAATTTAATTTTGCATACATGAAGGACTTTCCTGTCACAACTACCACGAAGTAATGCATCTATGACACCTACAAATGAATACTTCTTTAACAGAAATAGTGAGCCCAAATTATGAACTCAAAACAATATACTGCAAAATAACAAATTTTAATAGCAATCAATTATTAGTGATGCAGTATATATTAAATAGGAGTTTCATGCTACAATTGACAAATTTGCAATGCAAAAAATATTGATGCAGGAAAATTTGCAAAAATATCTTCTTTTGTAAATTTAGTTTTGGTGGCCCCATAACAGTTGTCCGTCTCTCGATAAATGGACAAAGTTCATTTGGAAGTTTTCCTTTTATATTTTATCATAGTAGCTCCTCTTTTCATGTCGTCCCACCATAGTGATATTCTGCCAGGTCAGTCCTAGTCACGTCCATAAACTGTAACATGACTTTCGGTCGTTAAAATTTAATAATATGCATTAACATTACCATGGTAATGATTAGTGTTGGAAAAGTCCAGCAGATGTCAAGTCACTGGTCAAAGCACTATACATGTACATGTAAGTTTTACATATTGTAAAGCTGCAAATTTATTGGACGATGATGGCTTTCTAAAGTTTTATGAACCAAGCAGGTGTCATTTGTATAAAACTTATTTGTTAAGATGGCAAGCATGGCTCTAATACTGTATATTGATATAAAATAAACCCATTACTGCCCGGTATAAATCAACTTTGTAATATCCAAAAGAATTGCTTTGTAAAGACTCATTTCTTGACAAGTATTTTCTAAGACTTCATTTCTTTGTCTTGACTCTCGTCAGCTTGCCTGAGCCACTGAAGAAATTAATAAGCTCATTATAAAATTTATATAATTATAAAGGCAGTCATTTCATAACAAGATATTGCCTTTTGACTAGAGCAAGATATTGGGCACCATTTTTCTTGATGCTCCACCTACAAACAATAATTCATCACGCCTACAACTGCAATCATTTTCCTTGTCTTTCTAGTTTACAAGTTGCAAAGCATCCTTTGCTCTTGGTGATCTCAATTTTGATGACATATTAAGGCATGTATTTCGTATTCCTTTGTTTTCAACAAAATGAGCATCCATACATAATTGCTTAATTT